AACCAGCCCACGACTAAACTGCCCATAAACGCATAACGGACGGTCCCATTAGAATAGGAAATTATGTGTTTATGAGCAGTGAAAACTAATTAATGGTTAATAGTAATACTTGATAAGGGACCCATAATTTTGCATGATTTTGATCTCTGTTTTGTTAGTCAAGATCTCAATCACGATTCTACCATAGAGTACTCTAAGATCAGAAGGTCCCGAAGAAACGAGCTCAACTTTTTGGCTCAGCTCTGGTACCAACAATCAATACGAAACTAACGATTTTAAATTGTCTCACCACTTTAGTAGCCTATTGGTCCCAAGCAAACGATTAACGTACCCTATTCTAGTTGAAATTCTATTACTACACTATGTTTGTTTTGATTCGCTATGAAAGTTTGACAGATAACATCAGGGGTGTGTGGATTCATGCAGAACATGCAGGGGTGAGTGAAATAGCTTGGGACTGCTTGGGACCGTTGTTCTGGTACTGAGTGAGCCAAAAATAATAATGATTTTCTTCGGGACCCAGTGGTCTTAGAGTTATCTCTATGCTGGTACTATCTTCGGTCCCAAGATAATCGATGCACCCCTCGAAACATAGGAAAATCCACGAACCCCTCATTTTATCTGTCAAACTGTCATAGCAAATCAAAACAAACGTAGTGTAGTACTGGAATTTGTACTAGAATGGGGTACATTAATCGATTTGCTTGGGACCAATAGGCTAGTCATGTAGTGAGCCAATTTAAAATCGTTAGATTCGTATTGATTGTTGATTCTACTGTTTCTGAAGATCCAACTCCACTTGTTAAGGAATGCCGCCACCGTCCGCCTCTTACATAGTTCATAAAGGAATGTGTTCCTTATGAATTTATCCCTGTCACCGAAGCTACTCGTTATACATTCAGGAAAACAGGATCAGGAACCTGTTTTTATCCTCTCGACTGGGAGGGACTGGATTTGAGCGTCGAAACAACAGTTGAAGTTTTCACTTTCGTAGTAGCTTACGCCATAGATCAGTTCACCCCCAAAATAGTGTGAAATGATCCTGTGTACCCACCCTGGTCTAAGAACCTTCTTAAGCGCCTGAAGTCGGTTAAAAGATCGGCTCTTAAAAACTCTCCAATAACAGTACCTCCATAGAGGTAACTCTAAGACCACTGGGTCCCGAAGAAAATCATTATTATTTTTGGCTCACTCAGTACCAGAACAACGGTCCCAAGCAGTCCCAAGCTATTTCACTCACCCCTGCATGTTCTGCATGAATCCACACACCCCTGATGTTATCTGTCAAACTTTCATAGCGAATCAAAACAAACATAGTGTAGTAATAGAATTTCAACTAGAATAGGGTACGTTAATCGTTTGCTTGGGACCAATAGGCTACTAAAGTGGTGAGCCAATTTAAAGTCGTTAGTTTCGTATTGATTGTTGGTAACTCCTATCGACCGTATTATCAACAATCAATACGAAACTAACGATTTTAAATTGGCTCACTACTTGACTAGCCTATTGGTCCCAAGCAAACGATTAACGTACCCCATTCTAGTCGAAATTCTAGTACTACGCGATGTTTGTTTTGATTCGCTATGATAGTTTGACAGATAAAATGAGGGGTTATTGGTTTTTCCTAGAGTCGGTGTATAATGAGTCACGCCAAGAGTGAAGCCAAGTCTACCTATTGAACTGTCAAACCGGCTACCTATCGTGCAAAGTAAACAAGCATTACGATGCTATGAAAGGTCCACGAAAGGTATTGCAATTAAATATAAAATATAATCGAAGAAATGATCATATACACGCAGTGAGCATTACATTTGTCATGCGATACGTTTTGTAATGATCAGTAATGACAATTTCTGCTATTTTTCTTTAAAATAATTCGACAAAATCACTGATATAATGATCTACTACAGCCGTTAATTTTTTTCCTCGCTAGAAGTCATTTGAAGTTGATGCAGAAGTCCTCTGTTGCCAAGTTAAAAGAAAGGGAATCTTTCGAAAACCGTGATGCGAGTTCAACTGTTTTTCTCTTGGCGTGACTCATTATACACCGACTCTAGTTTTTCCTATGTTTCGAGGGGTGAATCGATTAGCTTGGGACCGAAGAGAGTACCAGAGCTGAGCCAAAAAGTTGAGCACGTTATTTCGGGACCTTCTAGTCTTAGAGTTACCTCTATGGTATTACCAATGGGCTAGTCAAGTAGTGAGCCAATTTAAAATCGTTAGTTTCGTATTGATTGTTGGTATTACCATAGAGGTAACTCTAAGACTAGAAGGTCCCGAAGAAACGTGCCCAACTTTTTGGCTCAGCTCTGGTATTATCTTCGGTCCCAAGCTAATCGCTACACCCCTCGAAACATTGGGAAATCCACGAACCCCTAATTTTATCTGTCAAACTTTCATAGCGGATCAAAACAAACCTAGTGTAGTACTAGAATTTCGACTAGAATGGGACACGTTAAAAGATTTGCTTGGGACCAATAGGCTAGTCAAGTAGTGAGCCAATTTAAAATCGTTAGTTGCCGCTGGTTGGTATTACCATAGAGGTAACTCTAAGACCACTGGGTCCCGAAGAAAATCATTATTATTTTTGGCTCACTCAGTACCAGAACAACGGTCCCAAGCAGTCCCAAGCTATTTCACTCACCCCTGCATGTTCTGCATGAATCCACACACCCCTGATGTTATCTGTCAAACTTTCATAGCGAATCAAAACAAACATAGTGTAGTAATAGAATTTCAACTAGAATAGGGTACATTAATCGTTTGCTTGGGACCAATAGGCTACTAAAGTGGTGAGCCAATTTAAAATCGTTAGTTTCGTATTGATTGTTGGTATAACCTTTCTTCACGCCTTCCTTCGGAAGGGAAGTAAAGCCGTTGGTCCCCGGTTCATGACTTGATGGGTCGATAGGTACACGGATACGAATTTTGTTCATTTAAAACAAAGATATAAATGTTTATACCATAGAGATAACTCTAAGACAAGTAGGTCCCGAAGAAACGTGCTCAACTTTTTGGCTAACCTCTGGTACTATCTTCGGTCCCAAGCTTGTCGAATCACCCCTCGAAACATAAGAAAAACCAATAACCCCTCATTTTATCTGTCAAACTTTCATAGTGAATCAAAACAAACATTGTGTAGTACTAGAATTTCGACTAGAATAGGGTACGTTAATCGTTTGCTTGGGACCAATAGGCTACTAAAGTGGTGAGCCAATTTAAAATCGTAAGTTTCGTATTGATTGTTGTTTATACTCTAAACATATGAATTATTCAAAGTAAATTGAAAGCATGTTTAAAACAAAAATATTTATGTTTGAAGTAAATTCAAAAGCATGTTTATTTCAACAATATAGGATTTGGGTAAACGGTTTTTAGCGTGTCATGCCTTTTTATTTCCTTCTTATTACATTCGGAAAAAGTTGCCCCAGCTTTGCTCAACCTCAACAGAAAACGGTCATCCATTCCGAATCCATTCCGGATCCTCCTCCGATATCGAACACGGAAAGAAACCGGTATGAGGACCAGTGGCAAAAACCGAGGCAGAAACGGCAAAACGACGCTAATAACACAAATTTGCACCGGTTCCACTGAACTGGAACCCCCGGACACCCACCCCGACGGGTCCTTGCATCCCGGACCAGGACCCCAATACCCACAGGTCACCCTTAATCGCACCCGAAAAGAGCAGGAATTAAGATACCCTGCCCGAAGATCTTTTTTTTCATTTCTTTCCGTTTCCTGCACTCAACTACTCAAATAATTCCAAAATATGTATGTTTATTTTAAACATGAGAAGCATGTTTAAAATAAACATATTTATTATTGTTCGCATAGCTGTCAAACCAAACAAAAATAAATACGTTTATTTTCAACACGAATATTTTTGAAATAAACGTAACATTATTTTTATTTTAAACATTGATTTCACATGACTTCAAACATGGAATACGTTTGAAATCAACCTAATTTATGTTTGTGGCCAGAACAAACTGAGTTTACATTTAAATTTACCTCAAATATTTTTGTTACGACGATAGTTTTTTCTGCGTGTAGGGTCCAGGTGTGGGAGCTACCTCCCTGGCGTCGGTAGCATTGGTGCTCTGCATGGAAAATAAGAACGACGGAAAACAAATCAAGGAAAAAAATGTCGGATGTTGTTCAATCTCACATAGATTGTCCTGCAGTTTTACGGGAGTTGAATTTTGAAATTGGTCGTCGTACCCTCCGTTTTCACCAAATTATTCGTATATCGACATTCCGTACTAATTATGACTGTAATGAGCCTTTTAGTAGTATGTGTCGTGAGTTCAATCGTTGTTACCATGTCGTTGACTTTCATCTGTCACGTTCAATTAATAAAAATAGGTTCCGTGAAGTGCTCAGTTATTAAATTATAGGTAGTAGTAAGATATAGAATAAGGTAATTTTTTGTTTAGTTTTAAGTTAATACTGTATCATTTGGAATGTACTGTTCTGTTGATGCGAAAAGATGAGAAGGTTTTATGCCCATTTGAGAAGGAAAAGCTCCACTATGGGCTTTTCCCTGCTCCCAATAAAGAAGAAACCATAAAGAATGAAGGATATGCGATAGATGCGATGTCGCCTCTATCACAGCTTTCATCATTGCACAATATAATCGATTAAAACCCATCTGGTTCAATGATTTGAACTTGCCACTTGACTTGTCATTTCTTCCTGGATTCAAATGGACTTTGTTGAAAAATGGACATAGTTCCGCATTCACTGTAAGAACAAAACTGAACATACCAGCGACTTAATTTATGCAAATTGAACTATGATGTATTTCATAGCTCTAATTATACAAACTCAATATTGCCCCACCATGATATGGGAATTTCAGGCAAGAATTTGGCAAAGTAAACACATGCGAGCAAACAAGAGCACATCTCAAATCCAAGAACCATCGAAGAATCGTTTCCTTGCTTATTTTGTGACTAAGTATAAAATGGGAACGTCCGGTATCGTCAATTATCAGTTACGGGCTAGTGCCTCTAGAAGTAGAACACCACAGTCGTTCAAAATGATCCACAAGCTGGTTCTCGTAGCAGCACTTGTGTGCTTAGGTGAGTTTTATGGGTACATGGCTCAACATTTTAATTCTAATACATTTTCTACATGCAACAGTCGCCGCTGACGTCAGTGAAGTTCTGCGCCGTTCGCATGGCCGAGTTGCCGTTATACCGGCTCGCTATGGCACCCAACTGAAAACCAACGGCCACAAGCTGAAGACCCGGCAAACCGAGTCGGAAGAAGCCCATCAGTTCGATACCATTTTCATTGAGGATCCAGTGAACCATGACTTCCAAGCGTTCGATGTCGAGGAATCGGATGAACCGGCTAAGTTCCAGCTTCACCAGTCCCACCCCGATTACAAGGGACCATACCACTACGAGAAGCCAAAACTGAACAATGGCTACCTGGCACCGATCGTCACCACCTACAGACCTAATGATGACTACCTGGCACCGATCATTACCACCCACAGGCCACTGAGTGACCAACTGGCACCGATCATTACCACCCACAAGCCCTCATTTGATGACTACCTGCCACCGCATGGTCCACGGGATGATTTCGCAGAGAATGTTGCTAAGCGCAGCATCAAGCTGAGACGTCGTGTATAAAGGATGCTATGGACACCGCATGCGGTAGAGGAATTGAGGGAGGGTTCTATGTTTCGTAATGCAATAAATGCAATTTGAAGCTGGTTAAAAGAAATGGTTTGATTTAGCCATCAGCTCAAATTATACTTCATGAGAAAATGTATTTGAATCAATTAATTGACATAATACAAATGTAGAGTACTGTCAAGCAGGCATGGAAAATCATTTACATTCATTTCATGCATTCCATAACATTCATTTGCCTGTAACTCTTTTCATCAACAGAATTCCATAAAATGATGTATGCAGCTTTTGTCCGTTTTTATCTAAACTACAATTTTTGTGAACATCTCAAATCTGTTTCCCGTATACATGGTGCATGCTTAGAAATTATCGCCGACTTCGGTAATTTTTACCGAAATCTGAACAGCTGAACTGTTCGGTAAATTTTATGCAATTCAATTCAATTGGGTTCTTTAGGGGTATTGAGGTAATTGCATATTCGTAATCTGCATTACAAATGGAATCGAAATCCAAAATTTCATCAATTTTGGAGCACTGGAATTAATTTAAATAAGTGTGATTACATAAGCAAAAATCAACATCTTAGCGCCCCTCGATGGTACTTCGTATGGGAACGAGCTGTCAGTTTGTTAGTTTAGTGTCAAACAGTGAAGTGATTATTTTGATTTAAAAATTGAGATGGAAGTAAATGGAATCGAAAAAAATATCATTGTGCTCAGAAAACGACGCTCTTTCAGATGATGTATGAAAACCAACATATTATTCAAAATTAAAGAGCCCAATTGCTTTTAAGCTACTTTGAAACTAAATATCCACTAAAATGACAAGATTTGATCATATAAACAAGGTTGAACATGTTTTGAAATTATTTTCAAATTCAATAGCCTTTAAAATGAAAGTCAAAGCTGTTCTGATTTCGGTAAAATTTACCGAACACGAAAACAAAATCTTAGTGTGCGCACACTTAATCTAGCTCGGTAAAATCTCCATCTGCCGATTACCTCGGCATTAACTTTTGCTGATATCTCTGCAAAATATCTGTTTGTTAGCTGATATCTCAGCAAAATGTTATTTGTTAGGTGAGTCTCGGCAATTGTTTTACTGAATCTTAGCAAAATAAATTGCAGAAATACTCGGCTGATGGAAAATCGGCGAAAAAATTTAAGTGTGTGAACTATAAAGGCAGAACTTGTTGTTTTTCAGTTAATGTAATTTACATTCACTCAAAAACAATTGATCACTTTAGATGCTCAAGTTTAGAACCCACCACGGCATGCTTTTGGTGCTACTGTATATGAACGATCATATGTAAAATACTGTGGTAGCCATTGGCGTAAATAGAGGGGGGCCGGGGGGGCCTGGCCCCCCAGGCTTTGGGTTGCCCCCCCCCTCCAGAAAATTGCAGAAATAAATACCGGAGCAATTTATTTTCCAGATTATTCAGAATAAATTTTGCTGTGATTTTAAATCGCTTAATATATTGCATATTCATGGTTGATAATTGGTTCTCATCTTTTATTTATTGTTTCGTTGATTTCCTTTAGTGTAGAAACGTTATGCCTTGATGACGCTTGGTGCAGTAACTAACTTTTTAAATTGGCATACCGTTACTGCAACTTCACTCTTCATAGACTTCTCTGACACCGTTGGTATTAGCACAAACGAAGTGGTATTAGTGTTGGTATTAGTGAGTTAAAAAAATAAACAAAATCGTTTTTACTCTGTTATACTAGCATAATTGTGTTAGTGAGATCTCGCGGCAAGAAGTCTATGTCATCCAATGACGTTTATATAAGGTTCGGGCCAATAGGCAGCTTGCTGATGTTAGAAGCAAACATATTGTAAGTAATCTCCCTCCCCATACTACCGATGGTTTATGTCTTGTCAACTATGGACATGGAGCCCTTCAACCCAACATGATAGTTACGCCTCTGATGGTAGCCACAGCATAGTTCCGTCAAAACCTCAGCATTTTCATTGATCCATTCTTGGTTCTTCTCACTTTGGTTCATGATGCATACGAGATACAGATTTGAGTTGTTGACTTATATAAAAACCTTAAAAACTGCATACATCATTTTTCGGCATTCTTTTGATGAAAAAAGTTACAGGTAAATGAATGTAAATGAATTTGCATGCCTGCTGTCAAGTGTTCGACTGTTGGATTTATGACAAACTGTGAGTGTGGACTGGGAAGTTTTGTGAAAACTCAAATTAGGCCGATCCCTATCACCAGGGCGTCACAATATCAGCTTCAATCGACCAAATCGATGCGACGAAGAGACTGCTGGCTTTCTTTTTCTGTTAAAGTCGAATAGCTTCGCAAACGGGCACAAACAAATCGACAGTGAGCATGCATAAGGGCGTAAACGCGATGATCGATGCTCTTCGTCGATTTTCTCTTTTGTTAATAACTTGCTAGAATTAACGTTTCTCGATGCGTTTGCTGTTGTTTTTGATAACCGATACAACCTGTTACAATTCTGCATTGAACAAATTCTAGAAAATTGTTTTGCTTAACTGCAGCAATTCAAAGATAAAATCGATGAAGAGAATCGATCATCGCGTATACGCCCTTATGCATGATCATTGTCGAAATGTTCAATCGCTTGTCTCTCTTTATCCCGTCGCTCCATTGGTCTTCCTTTCAAGCTTCGGTGAAACGGATGAGCGAAAGAGCGCTCGACTTTGATAGTTTTCTCTTTTATGAAACACATCAACAGAGGTTTCATGACGTATATGACGGAAAATGAAATTACATATTTAAAGCATTTCTCACGTGAAAACACTTGAAGATTACACGTAATATGTTTAATTTATCTTCCATCCACATATTTTTCTAAAAAAATTAACGAGAACGGGACATAACGCATTTTAAACAAATTGAAAGAACGGTGATAGCTCGGGTGATAGAGTGTTCGTATAACCATAGAGGTAACTCTAAGACCACTGGGTCCCGAAGAAAATCATTATTATTTTTGGCTCACTCAGTACCAGAACAACGGTCCCAAGCAGTCCCAAGCTATTTCACTCACCCCTGCATGTTCTGCATGAATCCACACACCCCTGATGTTATCTGTCAAACTTTCATAGCGAATCAAAACAAACATAGTGTAGTAATAGAATTTCAATTAGAATAGGGTACGTTAATCGTTTGCTTGGGACCAATAGGCTACTAAAGTGGTGAGCCAATTTAAAATCGTTAGTTTCGTATTGATTGTTGGTATAACTCTAAGACCACCGGGTCCCGAAGAAAATCATTATTATTTTTGGCTCACTCAGTACCAGAACAACGGTCCCAAGCAGTCCCAAGCTATTTCACTCACCCCTGCATGTTCTGCATGAATCCACACACCCCTGATGTTATCTGTCAAACTTTCATAGCGAATCAAAACAAACATAGTGTATTAATAGAATTTCAACTAGAATAGGGTACGTTAATCGTTTGCTTGGGACCAATAGGCTACTAAAGTGGTGAGCCAATTTAAAATCGTTAGTTTTGTATTGATTGTTGGTATCACGCTCTATCGCGCTCTATCCCTATCACCAAATCTTGGTAAACGTACCTTCGACACAACCTGGGTAACGGTTACTCAGATGTTAACATTTGATAAAAGGGCAAACTTTACCTATTTTAATAGAAATTAGGTGACATGACCGCTGCAATAGCTCTATCAAACATAACCTCACCCGACAAGCTCCTCTAGCCTGTTATTGTGTGTGGCAGGATAATTTCTCAAAACGGGATTATACCATAGAGCACAGAGAACAGACGTCCAAGTTCGATCAGACACTTGTGTAAAGTTAAGTGGAAACGTCGCCGTTACGTACCGCTAGCATCTCCTGATTTCCTCTATAAATTTATCACTTTCGACCAATTGGCCGCTAGTATCGATAAAATATCTGTTGAAAATTGCCACTTGGCGCTACCAGCACTTAGTGTGTGGTGTAAGTTTTGCAACGCCAGCGCCATCATGTTGTCAAAGAGGGTTTTTAAGTGGGGCAGTCGCCGTTAGTGGCGCTTAAGTCGAATAGGAATCTTTACACAAGTTTTTAGAGAAATTTTGTTCGAGCCTCAATGTCTGTTCTCTGTGCATAGAGGTAACTCTAAGACCAGAAGGTCCCGAAGAAACGAGCTCAACTTTTTGGCTCAGCTCTGGTACTATCTTCGGTCCCAAGCTAATCGATGCACCCCTCGAAACATAGAAATCCACGAACCCCTCATTTTATCTGTCAAGCTTTCATAGCGAATCAAAACAAACCTAGTGTAGAGCTAGAATTTCGACTAGAATGGGGTGCGTTAATGGATTTGATGGATTAATGGTATCATTGTTGTTAGCTATATTTAGATCGACTAATCATTTTAATGCGTGTACGATAACAGGTCGTTTGAATAAAAGTGTTTACTTTACTTTTCCCGTAAGAATAGCACGGGAAAGTAAAGTAAACTCTTTTTGGGATAGATCTGTTTACAATCTTTAAACGTCAAAATCAAAGGAAGCCATTCCCAACAAACAATTGAGAGCTCTTATAAAACACCTGAGTTGATCAAACGTTGAATAATAGCTTCCAGAGTTGTACAAGAATGTAGTTGTATTGCCTTTTTGGTTAGAAGTTTCAAAAGCTGCTTGGAGCACTCTTAAATGATTGTTTACTTTCGGTTTAACTATATGCTTTATAAGACCTACGATAACTTTTATAGCACCTTTGTTAAACTGATTGACAAGAGCTATATAGAACGTGACATAAACGCATCAAAACAAACCATTGGGAGCTCTTATACAACACCTGAGTTGATCAAACGTTGAATAATAGCTTCCAGAGTTGAACAAGAATGTAGTTGTATTGCCATTTGGTTAAAAGCTTCGAAAAATGCTTGGACCACTCTTAAATGATTGTTTACGTTCGGTTAAACTGATTGACAGGAGCCATATAGGATGTGGAATAAACGCATCAAAACAAACCATTGAGAGCTCTTATACAACACCTGAGTTGATCAAACGTTGAATAATAGCTTCCACAGTTGTACAAGAATGTAGTTGTATTGCCATTTGGTTAAAAGCTTCAAAAACTGCTTGGAGCACTCTTAAATGATTGTTTACGTTCGGTTAAACTGTTTGACAGGAGCCATATAGGATGTGAAATAAACGCATCAAAACAAACCATTGGGAGCTCTTATAAAACACCTGAGTTGATCAAATGTTGAATAATAGCTTCCAGAGTTGAACAAGAATGTAGTTGTATTGTCTTTTTGGTTAGAAGCTTCAAAAGCTGCTTGGAGCACTCTTAAATGATTGTTTACGTTCGACCAACCACAATTTTGTTGCTAAAAATAGCACAAGTGATAGGCACGTTTATATGACCATAAGGCAATGATTATTCGACTGCAAGAGAAGTCACTCAACATGAGCTTCATATACTTCTCTCATATGATCAGAATATGTATTCAAGAATAGAGCAGATGGAAACAGAGGCGGCTGGCAATCCGGGATCATGAGTTCAAATCTTACTTCGAGAAACCCTCGGTGGAGTAGAGGTTAATTATATATAGGTGTTATTAATAAATGCAAACATTAATTTAAGACATATATCATATAATCAACGATAACATTTCTAGATAAATTCTCTCAATTAATGATTAGAGAGATTAATTGAAAGAATATCAATCAAAGATTAAACAGATGCTTGTTACTACTTCCTCCATGAACACAGAATGTGAATTATGGCATAATTACATATTTTTTCAATGTGCACAAATAAATTAAATTAATAAAAACTGTACAAGCAATTATTTTGGCGTACCACGACAATTGTTAAACTAATTTTAATCTGTGAATATTGTGAGTACTTACACAACGGTTATTAAGGAGTCATTAAAAAGTGCTATAAACGCTTTTCACCGCTTGCTGTATAGTGATTATTTAGGAGTCATAAAAGAGTGTAACAAACGCCTCTCAGGTTTCCTCTCTACTAAATTTCAAAGCAGCTGTCAAGAAGTGTCTACAAACGTTGTATAGGAGCTTTCACCAAAACAATAAAGATTGAGTTTAAATATGCATCTATAAACGTTGTATAAAAGTTGCTTCTATCCGGTTATTAAGGAGTCATTGAAAAGTGTTATAAACGCTTTTCACCGCTTGCTGTTCAATTAATATTTAGGAGTCATAAAAAAAATGTAACAAACGCCTCTCAGGTTTCCTCTCTACTAAATTTCAAAGCAGCTGTCAGGAAGTGTCTACAAACGTTGTATAAAAGTTTTCACCAAAACAATAAAGCTTGAGTTTAAATATGTATCTATAAACGTTGTATGAAAGTTGCTTCTATCCAGTTGTTAAAGAGTCATTGAAAAGTGCTACAAACGCTTTTCACCGCTTGCTGTATAGTGATTATTTAGGAGTCATAAAAGAGTGTAACAAACGCCTCTCAGGTTCAATCTCTAATACATTTCGAAGCAGCTGTTAGGAGATGTCTACAAACGTTGTATTAGAGCTTTCACCAAAACAATAAAGCTTGAGTTTAAATATGCATCTATAAACGTTGTATAAAAGTTGCTTCTACTCCTATACCGCGTATACATATAATGCTGTAGTTGAACAGGTTCTCCAAACCAGTGTAAACAAGAGTTTTACAGAAGTTGTAATAAACAAATTGTACAGTTATTATTCAGCATGCAGTTGAATAAAATCACAATGGAAGCGTTTCTTCAACAAGAAATTGATTTTGGGTAAACGTTTTACTGAATACGTTAGACAACACTTTGTGTTGCAGTTGTATAGGTTCTCCAAACCAGTGTAAACAAGGGTTTTATAAAAGTTGTGGTGAACACATTGTGCAATTATTATTCAACATGCAGCTGAACAAAATCAAAACGAAAGCGTTTCTTCAACTGGAAATTGTTACTTGGGTTTACAATGAGATATACATGTTTCCTATTCTGCAATGTTAAATGACTGTCCAATAGTTTCTAAATGTCTATTTACACACGACATATCAACAAACGTCAAAAATCAGTACCAACATTTCAAAGGGGCGTAATTGCTTTTGTAAACAATGGCTTTAGCTGTCGATTTCTCGCAAATTAAAGTTCAATCTTCTAAATTAACAATGCTAGCTGGTAGAGGAAACATTCCTCTACCTATTGGTGTAATTAAATTTAATGAGTGAGCTTTTATTTGCGAGAAATCGACGGCTAAAGCCATTGTTTACAAATGCAATTACGCCCCTTTGAAATCTCGATGAACATTTGAAATGGTCCTATCTGCTTTGATCGATTCTCTTCATCGACTTTCTCTTTTCATAGCCACTGCCATGCAAACAGATTTCGCGCTAATTCTACCACATAGTTTGATAAAGGAGGTTCTTATCTAGCGTACAAAACGTCAAATACAACAGGGAAAGGTTTTGCAGCTTAGTTATTAACGAAAGAGAAAGTCGATGAAGAGAATCGATCAAAGCAGATAGGACCATTTGAAATGTTCATCGAGAAATGTTGGCACTGAAATCGTTAGAAGCAACTCCAATAAAATAAACATAATTATCTTATAAGATAAATCTTTTAGTGAGCAATATTCATCATGAAAACAGGTATATTTTACCTGAATTTTCTCATAGTGCAAACTTATATGTTTTTCCATTAGTTTCTAGATGTCTGTTCCCACCCATTACATATCACCAGTCTTTCACCATGAAATATATCAGACAATATTCATATACATCTTATCTAACGCTAACCACGTTCGAAGCAAAGTATTATCATAGAGGTATCAAGTACTAAGGCTCTGAACCATTTGGTGGATTATTTTAACTTTTGGTTAAAATTTGACAGTTGAAAAGTTATCGATTAACCCTGCTATCCAAGCATGGTTATTTCTGACAGACAAGAAGTTAAATTTTGACAACCGTGGCTCGAAAACCGGCCGATCGACAGCACGGGGATTTTCGAACATAGAAAATAACTTTCGAAATGTCACTTTTAACCACGAGTTAAATTTAACTCGGCAAATGGTTCACAGCCTAAGTATGTGAAATTACGGTAGAAATCATTCCATATCGCAGTCATAGAGTTTTTAAGTGATAATCCAATGGAATCTATCAATCATCACATATAATGAATAAATCTGCTGACATTGCTACACTAATACAAATTCAATGCTAATTTTTATGTGTCCCACACATGAATTTTTGCAATGTGATAAACAAATGATATTTATGTTTCGGACATATACACCCCTATTCTGTATTTCGTTTCGAACGAAATTCTCATACAAAAAAATATTTTTTTGTATGAGAATTTCGTTCGAAACGAAATACAGAATAGGGGTGATAGTTCTTATGTGTTCACATAAAATTCATGTGAAACCACACATACTATTCATTTGACTCATAAATTTCATGTGTACTTCTGAGTGGATTCTGTGTATGTGTGGACACATGAAATTCATGTAGAATTTTACATGGAAATTCGCCAATAAAAATGTGTCGAATTTTATGAGTGTATGTTATCAGATGGATCCAATAAACGGTACATGTCGATTTGTTTCAGTGTAGGTTCGAAAGTGCTGATAGCTGTGCGGCTGTGCCAGCCAGGATCTTGAATCTTTGGTGAGTTAACACGAGTTCAGCCAAAGACCCGCATAAACGCGAACCATAAATTGACCTTACCTAAAATGGTTAAAAATTGTTTATAATCCCTGCTAAACTTTAACTGAAATGGTTATGGAACTTTACATGAACGTTTAATGATAAAGTTTCAACCTTATGTATTATGGTTTTTTGGAACTGGACCTTACAAATAATGGGTTGTTAAGAACCATTACCATTCCAAATTCTTGTTTTCTCCATACATTTTCAGAAAGAGAACTATATAAGAACGTTTTTACTTATGATTTGAGAACATTAATGGTAATGGTTATGGTAGTCAGTAAGGTCCATTAATGGTTTTGTATTATCGCTCAACTTTACGTGGAATATATCGTGAATTGGTAATCAGTAAATTACAGGCAACCAATTTGCGATATATTCCACATAAAGTTGATCGATGTTACAAAACCATTCGTGGACCTTACTGACTACCATAACCATTACCATTAATGTTCTCAGACCATAAGTTAAAAGGTTCTAATATAGTTCTCTTTCCGAAAATGTATGGAGAAAACAAGAATTTGGAACGGTAATGGTTCTTAACAACCCATTATTTGTAAGGTCCAGTTCCAAAAAACCATAATACATAAGGTTGAAACTTTATCATTAAACGTTCATGTAAAGTTCCATAACCATTTCAGTTAAAGTTTAGCAGGGATTATAAACAATTTTTAACCATTTTAGGTAAGGTCAATTTATGGTTCGCGTTTATGCGGGGAGTGAATCGAGGAATGTCGAAACGGTCATTTTAAACATCGTGCTGAAATCTAGTACTTCATTTCTCTCTGGCAAGTGACAGATTCTGCCTGGCGCTGTCATTATCTGACAACGATTTGTTTATTTTCATTAGTAAATGTGTTTGTGCATATTCCGATTTTTGTAATGTATAACGGTGAATCGAAGTATTGAACACAACACACACGCATCTACTGATAGTGGTATTTCCCAGGTGGTATTTATCGCGCTTCAATACGTAAAAACAAACTGTGTTCTTTTTCAACAGTATGAGAGTTTCTGTATAGTGCGTCGGAGGTCATCCATTGATCCATTCAGAACTTTGTCGCGGTCTATACTGTCCGCTTGGGACTAAAGTCGGCTCAGTCTACTAGCAACGGTGGCAGTGTTGTGTGTGTAACGTGCATTATTTATTATCAAAATCCAACCCACCATCAGCTTTACTAGTGCTCGGTTAGAAGCCGTGGCCTGTGAAAGAAAAACGAACGGACAGTGTGTCAGTAGGAATCGGTCACTACTTTTGGTGCGGTGCGCGTGTTCGACGGGTTCGACGGCAAGGAGCGGAAAATAATTTATATTTTGAAATCCATAACAACCGAATAAAGTGTTGCGAGTGAGTATCATTCGCGGAACAGTGCCCAGTTCAGTGTGCGTGCGAGGTGAAATACCTCCAAGGGAGGAATCTTGTACAGAATAGTGGTTCCTATGATCTTGTTTTTGATTACGCTTCAGAAACGAATGTAAACAAAGGGCATTTGGTAAGATCGTTTTGGGTGGTGCTTGTGAAAAAGAAGCATTTTTTTTATCGAGAGTCACTGCAAACAACACCCCGGAGCGCAGGTAGCTGCGATTAAGTAATTCAGTGAATGGCAACAGTAACTGTTGTTGGCAAGGGGGAGGCCACCCTGTGAAGAAAGTCAAGTACAAAGTTCTGGAAAAGTAGCTCTGGTGTGTGCATTGAAGTGAGAAAAGTTTATCGCGAAAAACGGTTCCCAATTTTTAATAATAAAAAGCATCGAAACGGTTTCGCTTGAGCTGGGAAAATGAGCACGGAAGCGGAACTTCGACGACGAAACATCGGTGAGGGAGATTCCCTGGGCGAATCTCAACTCAAACCGGAAGACATCAGCAAGCAGGCCCCACAGGAATCGACCACTGCGGAAAGTTCTGATCATGTAAGTTCGCTTGCACTTTTGAAATTTACATCAGCCTCAGTAAAAAGCAACAGAAACCTTCGCTACAGCGTATGAGCGAAATGGGATAAATTTATCGATTTTTCCACAGTATCTTACCGCGCGCTTCCCATTTTCCTCGCTTTTCCCCTGGAATGATTTTTTCCCTTGCGAATCAGCGCCTGTCTGCTTCTCGGAGTCCGTTTTCGCATTCATTCAACATCGCGCGATGCGGCCGTTTGGCAATTTAGAGACAGAGAGGACACTACCTGAAGGTTACCGGCAGTGCGTGTCTATTTTCCTAATTGGATTTATTCCTGCCGGGATGCCGGGAGCCAATCGATAATTAAAACCCAGTCCCATAATCACACTCCCCTAAAGGGAATTTCGTAACCTCGCTAGCTGCGTGCTGAGCTGAATGCAAAATTCCTTCGAAACATAATTCGACAGGATAATCCAAACTATTGCGACTGGTACCGTTGCTTGCGGAGGGAGTTTTAGCCGGTATTCCTTGGTTCCTATTTCACAAATGGTATCTTTATTACCAAAAACCAGGTATCAAGGAATTCAGGAAAAAATAAAACCGGCCTAAACTCCATCCGCGAACAACGGTACCTCTTTGTAATACCCAACTCTGCAAAGAAATGCAATTTCTCTTAAAAATAAACTAGGCATCTGGGGACAAATTTGTTCAATTTAATGTGAGTCTTGCCTGTGGTGCTTATCTTGCGATAAATTATTACTCACTTGCAGAGAGAAACGATAGCGAAACGAAAGCAACGGATGTTAACTTTTGGTTTCGTTGGGAAAATGGCTTTATCATGCATCTGTTTTTTGTTTGTTTATTCCTTAGTTCTAGTTTGGAGTTTTCGTCCAACAAACTCTGGATTTCCCATCATCAAACATCATGTGCAGTATTTCATACAAATCTCTCTGAAAACAAAATGCTTTTGCAAAAGGCTTTCCCGGCCGGGCGTTCAGAATATGGAACGCATGGTCGATTTCTTAAATGTTGTCTCTTAATAAAATTTGAGTAATTATGCACCCAAATTTATTTTATGCAAGTGCTTAGATGTTAAGTCTGCGAGACTGTGAGAACAAGTATTTTTTAAATAACAAAATTGTTTTCATTCAGATCCTATTATCATAGAACATTATGATCAGGGGGTTCCAAAAAAAAAACATGATCAATATTTAATAAAAATAAAAAAAAAATGTGTCACCGCGCCATCTTTGCGACAAAAACTTGAACTGTTTTTATTCATCAAATTGTAGTCCTAATTAATCTAAGAAACTTCACTGAAGATGTCAACTCAATTGGATGCAATCCCAGAACGTTAATATTTTTCCTGCTAGATTTTATTCCTGGCCCATTGTGCATTGAGAGGCAGCGGGTTCGATTCCCGGTTCGGTCGAGGAGATCTTTCAGGTTGGACATTTTCTCGACTTCCCTGGGCATTGAGTATCATTGTGCTTGCCACATAATATACAAGTTCATGCATTGGATACGTGGATACGTCTATTAACGTCTCTTTAAACTGTTCCCCTACAAGAGGAGAATTTAGTTCATTCGAGACGGGTTTTAAACATCAGCTGTTTCATCATTGTGTCCCCCGTTAGGTCGGTCGTCCTCCCTCACACACCTTGGTCTTTAGGACCTTAAAGAATGCCTCTTGTCGAATAAGGTGGCATGACTACCAGTCATTTTCTTTCTAATGCCACTTCAACTTACTCATGCTTATATCATATCGTATGAGTCTAACGCCCTCAGGAAGTTGAGTACAGTTTGCTCTGTACTCCTGTCGTTGAACAATACCTCACGGATTGAACCAACGACACTCATATCTTCCCTTAATTGTGCTCTTGCCGGGCACTCCACCAATAGATGATTTACATCTAATACCGCACCGCATCCTTAGCAGTAGGCCACACTGCCGCTAAATCGAGGGTGAGTGAGCCGTGTATGACCAATCCTCAGCCGAGTCAAAACTTTCTGATCTCGAGAATTAGGTGCATCCTTCCACTCTTGTGTAGTGTTCTTGATACGACGCAGGAATGCATCACGGTTGTTATGCCAAGACACATTCCATGCGTATCGCGAGGTCTGCTTCACCCAGCGGGTAGCGTCACTATAAGGCACCGGAGTGGCCTCTAGTCGAGCAAGACGACCCTGGTTAGCTAGTTTATCAGCAGCCTCATTCCCTGGTATACCTGCGTGTCCAGGTACCCATACAAAGGTTATGTTAGCGTACCGTTGCACCTCTAACAGCCACGGGTGTCCAACCTGCCCATGCTCAAGGGCAGAGAGACAACTCGCAGAGTCAGAAAATACAACGGCCTGAGACCCATTTGCTAGCCTACAAGCTTGCAGGCCTCAGCTGAGAAGATACCACATAGACCGGGTAACCATCCGCAGCGGCTTATGTCCTCCCCAGACACCCCATAACCAACCTCCTCTTCGATTAATGAACCGTCCGTAAATAGCTTGAGCCTTCCCTCGTATGAGGCAGCGACCTCCCTAAATGCAGCTTTCGCCACACTAGAGCTAACCCCCGCCCCGCACATAGCTTTAACCCTCCAATCAACTTTCGGGGCAGTAGCATCCCATGCCCGTTGCCACAGCCTAGCTCGGTGGGCTAACGTGGGAAGATCTACTCCCGTCAAGTCGCTCCACCATTCTCTCGCCCTTGCAACCGTGGGCCTGTCATTGAGAATGGGATCCCTTTCTAGGAGCCTTAGCGCCTTGGTGGCCAGGTCTTCGGTGACAACATTCACCAAAGGGACCTTTCCATTCTCCACCAACAGAGAAGCTATTGGTGAAGACCTCAGCGCTCCGCTACAAATTCTGTACGCCTCATTGTACTGAGGTTCCAGAATCTTGAGCAGGGAGACACCACCCCTGCTCCACAGTTCCGCCCCGTAAAGGATGCTAGGGACAACCAGAGCCCTAGCAACCTTGGTCAATGTACTACGAGAGGCTTCAGAGAAGCGACCATTTAGGGTCCGAAGGATATTCAACTTGTTGTTGACGTTATCCTTCACCAACTTGGCGTGCTTAACAAATCGGAGTTTGTTATCAATAGTCACACCAAGCAGTTTCATCTCGCGTACGGCCTTGACCGCATGCTCACCGATACTAACATAAGGCAGGTTCGGTCTGTGATGATGACCAAAGCAGACGTGCAGCAGTTTGGACTTCTCGGGGGAAATCACAAACCCAACACCATCTGCCCAGTCAACGACAGACTGAACTGCATCCTGCATCTTGTGCCTAACCACCCTACTGTATTTACCTAACACGATAAGGGTAATATCATCGGCGTATACAATGATGTATACATCCTTGGGAATGCGTTCAAACACTGAGTTCATCGCATTGAGAAACAGTGTAACCGAAAGGACAGACCCTTGCGGGATGCCATTCTCCAGCAACCTCGAGGTAGATGTTGCGCCAGCGTTCAATACTCGGAACCTACGGTTCTGTAGAAAGTTTTCTACGTAGTTAAACATACATCCTTGGAAGTCCCAGCTCTTGAGGGAAGTCAAGATAGGAAGCTTCCATGTCATATCATATGCCTTGGACAAATCGAGGGAGACTACATCTACATGCAAATCTTCCGACGAGGCCTTGTCCAATAAATGATCGAGCTCAGAGAAGAACGTCTCCGACCCATAGCCGCATCGAAATGCGTGTTGCCGTGGGTGGATCCGTCCCTGCCTCTCCAGCTCGGTTGACAGACGACGGTTAACCATCCGCTCGAGTTTTTTTTCCCATGCAGCTCAGCAGGGTTATCGGTCGATAACCCTCTGTTAGGGTTTTATCCTTCCCATGTTTGGGAATAGGAATAACCAACCCTTCTTTCCACTCGTCCGGTATCGGGCCAGAAAGCCAGACTTCGTTCATAGTAGCAAGAAGAGCCAATCGGCCGGCAAGGGGTAATCTCCTAAGCAGGGGATACCCGATGTCGTCAGGGCCCGCAGCCTTACCAAGGCCGCGGCGCAGGGCCCAGTTGAGTTCTACAAGCACGAATACCCTGTTGTAGTCTTTAACTAGACTACACTGCCTGTCACGGGAGTAGCGGTACTCCCCCTCAGCCAATGACTTTACACGCAGGAACTCATCACTGTGATTGCTGTTTGCCGACACCTTGGCAAATTGATCAGCATGGGCCTCACTGATAAGTCCTGGGTCTTTCGTGTAATCGCCATCCAACTTAATAACCCTCTCAACATGTCTGTTCTTACCACCGACAGACTTTACCTTTCGCCATAGCTCACCAGAGCTAGTGGTTTCCGATATGTCCGCGGTGAAAGCAGACCATGTATCCCGCTTTGCAGCTTTGATTACGCTTCTAGATTTAGATCGAGCAAGCTGAAACTCCCTCAATCTATCGGCCCTAGAAGGATCATCAAGCTGCAACCTACGCAGCGCCCTTAGACATTTACGTCTAGCCTTAATCGCTGTATGAACTTCTGTCCTCCACCAAGGGACAGTTTTCATACCTCCTCTCCCTCCAGCCTTTGGGATGTGACGACGAGCGGCTTTACTCAAGATTTGGGTCCAGTCACCTGGTCTCAGTATCCTGTCATCACCAGGCAGTTGGCGACAGACTTCTTTGCCAAAGCTGTCCCAATCTGCCTTCTCAAGGTTCCATCTCAGCCTTGTCACAGTAGACGGGAGGTCTACAGCCTGTGACAATGAGATAGGAAAATGATCACTTCCGTGTAAGTCATCGTCAACCCGCCAGATAAACTGGCTGGCTACATCCCAAGAGGCTATGGCCAGATCAATCACGGACTCTACCCCGGTGGTGGGATCGAACCGAGTCGGTCTGCCATCGTTCAGCACTGAACAACCCAACGTTATGTGATCCCCAGGAGGGGTGATGCGCATTCAGATCGCCCACTATCACATAAGGGACAGGCAGCTGCGAGATGAGATCTTGCAGTTTGCCGATGACGTTCACTTCCTTGCCAGCCCTATTCCTCGGAGCCATGTATAA